TGCGCATTCCTTGGTTACATGGACACATGCGGACCCATCAAAACCAACCTAGGGAGATGAGAAGTACCTCTGTCAGAAATCTCTAGACCTCGACTCTTGGGGACAAGGTTTGAACTCAGCCGGGGGTATTGTCATAAACCCAGGTGATGATGGCAGCGCGGATATAGGAAAAGGCGACGAAGAGAAAAAAGGTGAAGATATAGCCGAAAAAGGAAGGATCTTATGTGAGGACAAAGAAGATTATCGTGGAGAAGAGAGAGAGAGAGAGAGAGAGATCGTATTTGAGAATTAAGGTTATGTTTTGGGTTGGTTGGATAAGGCAATGTAATAGGGAGTTTCTGGGTTGTATCAATTGGGCCAAATTTATATTTAGTATGGTTAGTATTTAGTTTGATCTTTTGCATTATATTTGTTAGTATAGGACTCAATTATTAGTTAGGGTTAATAGAGCTTAGTAAACTTATGTTTTGGGCCAGCCTTACGCTATGGGGCAAAATAGTAATTCTAGAGTGTAATAGGTGAAATAAGATTAATGTGGGGACCATGTGTTTTATGTATTATGATAACTGAAATAGGTGAAATACGCTCTATTGATGATGGACGTACAACAGATCGCTTGCTTAACTAGATTAATCAACAATTGAACATGTATTAAAAAGTTGCACATGTTTTTTCCTTATAAAAGTTACATGTGTTTTTTAAATTGATTTGAATTTGATTTTCTAAATAACTGAATAAGGTTTGACATTAAATATTAAACATCAAATTCGGACTCAATTTTGATATGGAACCGATTTTAGTTACCAAAAACGTAGATGCGATTTTGATGGTATATTCAAATCAAATCTTAATTGTTTAAAAATAAAAGATGCACATGTTTTTTTAAAAAAAAAAAAATTCTAAGATTAGTAAGTCAACCAATTTATTATTTAGTCAAACTTACGAGAAGTATTTTTTTCAACAACTTTTTGTTCGTCTATATTTTTAAAGCTCGACCGCAAGTGTACGGCTTCGCTCGTAGTATGTGGCAAGCAACGTCGTATCCCAAGAGACCAAATAATCAATATATCAAGTATTAGATTATGATAATGTCAATTTTATTTAGACGATCGAATATTGGATGGATTAACTAACTAAGAAAATAAATCAAAAGGAAATAAATCAAAAATAAAAATAAAAATAAAGAACTAGCTAGAAAAACACGTAAGAAAGTATATGAGAATGATAGATTCTAAGACTAGGTTTCAATTAATAGTTGGGTTCCTTTAAAAATATCACAACCAATGTTTTCTTTATCTCCCCTATAAGATGATCACAAATTTAGCTTATCGTCCCTCTCGAGATCGATAAAACCGTAGATTAAATCACATATATTAGCGTCTCCACTCAACACATGCAATTCAACTCTAAATAGATTAAAAGATCTAATATCCTCACAACGACCTACTAATCTCTCGATTCAAGCAAGTAAATTGTGTCAATATTAAAGACCTAATATTGAACTCATCTCTCGAATTATGAATAATATTGTCAAACATGTAAAAGCATTGATCAGGTGCTAAGCATAAAATAAGAACAAAATATTTGAATAGGGTTCAAAAGAAGACAATTAATTATAATAATTCACCTAAAATCCCAACACATTAATCTACTACCAAGTCTTAGAATCAAATAATCTAGCCACTCATGTTCGAATTCAAATACATAGACATATTAGAAATCGATATGATCATAAAAGTTCAAAAGGAAGAAGAAAGAAAAACTAGAAATCTTGTTGATCTTTCAATCTTCTTGATTCCTTCGTAGTTAGATCTTCTTTTGCTTCTCAATTGCTTCTCTTGTGTGTTCTAGGGCTCCTCTCTTGTGTCTCCCACGTTCTCCTCTCTCAAAATAGGGTAAATATAACTTTTATAATGTCCAAAACTTCTCCTTTTCAAAATAAAAAAAAAAAAAAAAAAAACAGCATGCGCGCGCGACACGGCCAATCTGCCTGTGTCACGGTTCGTGTCGCAGCCCGTGTCAGGTCCCTGGGCTTCGAATTCTCTCTGTTGAGGTGACACGGGCATGGTCCCCGTGTCACTGCCCGTGTCACAAATCTGTACTCTTATTTTTGCTCGTTTCACTTGTTTCTTCTTTTTTTTTTTCATCCGTGCATCAATCTTTCATCATCTCAGGGGTCTTAGATACTCACGATGCGCCTCCAATAGCCACAAGCTCTACAAATATGTAAAAATATCTACAAAACAAGCACATGTAATCCCTTTCCAACAAGATATAGAATTATACCACAATAATGCAATTTATACACCAATAATTCAATGAATAAGCTCTAGATACTATATAAATATGGTGTAAAATCACACATGAACACTTTTTTAAAGTACTATAGATATGTTAATTGGAAATGCTTTACTGAGGCTCTACCAATCAAAGCTGCACTCAGAATAAGATGAATGTTTGCTGATAGTATCTGCCAATCATGTGGGGAAGAAGTGGAGACAGTTGAACACATTTTTCTACATTGCAGCAGAGCAAAAGAAGTTTGGAAAGCAACTCCAATACAGTGAGACTTAACTGTACATCTAGGGACAAAGTTCAGAACTTGGTGGGGAGATGTATGTTCAATCAACAAGTTGGAGGTTTCTAAAGCTAGAATAGAACTAACCACCTACATTCTTTGGTAGTTATGGAAGACAAGAAATTTATGAGTCTTTAAGAAGGAATGGATGCCATCTAAGTCTGTGGTCAAAATGGCTTTCAACGATTGGTAGGAGTTTGCTCACAGAAGGATGATCCCTGTGGCTGATTCATCTTCTATTATCTGATTTTATTTTCTTTTTTATTTTCTTGTTAGTGTTTGTGCTTCTTGTATTTGAACCTTATTTTTTTNAGGCTTTTGATGTATTGGCTCTGTAAATGCCTTAAACTGATGCAACACTAAGGGTGACAGATCCTGTTGGCTGGCCTTAGTGTGTGCGGGTTCAAAGTGCATGTCATAGAGCTTTAGTATTTTTAGTTCATTAATTTAGAGCTCTCGAATGTGAGTGTCTCTCCTTATTAGAGTCAGTTGACTCTCAAATTGTACTAGTACAGAGCCCGTGCGACGCACGGAGTGCACACTTTTAAGGCTATTTATCCAGGCTTATAATTATATACATGAATAAAGAAAAATGTACGGGATATATATAGTACGTGTCGCACGGGATATATTTATTTAGAGAATATTATATTATAAGATGCAATATTTAATAAAAATTTATAATACGTAAGAAAATTGTACAATGTTCAATAAAAGTTTTATAATATTCAAGTGGAGTCTTAAAGTCTCTTGTACATTAAGACTACTGATAAAATAATATTTTAATCAATGAGTTTCCTTTCCTTGTAGCCAAATTGTGAATGTGATTTGAGGAGTACAACATATCGATATATAGCTGACTTGCTTTTTTCACTGTAGTTTTTTTTTATAATATTTAAAGATATTCTAAAATATAGTAAAAGTTGATTTTTTTATTACAATTAGGAATTTTACAAAATAATCTATGGTGTCAATCAACGTTTAAGTCTAAAAAATTAGGAATTTTTACCTCTTTTAATCAACGTGTAAGTCTAAAAAACAATAGTGTTATTATAAGTTTTTTTCTACATCTTTTAAAACATTAAATATGAGAAAGTTAGGGCTAGCTTGTAAAATAATTAATATATTGTCTCACTAAAACATTTATACTAATAAAAAATTAATTTTAGCATATAAATTTATCCCTTGGTATAAAAGAAAGTAACAGTTTTACTTGTTGTTGTTCACCATATAATGATTAATTATTATTTTATTACATAATAAAAAAGAAATATTGTTAAATAGTGTAGTTATGTTATTATAAAATTATATGATTTTCTTTTCACAATATGGATTTAATATTTTTTTATGATTTGATAATATAAACAAATCTACACTTAACTTTGACAAATAAAACAAATAAATACTTTAGTAAGTATTTAATGTATATACTAAATAGGAACATATTTGGTATAATCAAATACAAAGTATAATCAAATAAGTCAAAGTCTACATTTTTTATTTGGTATTTGGTTTTTTTTTATTAAAATATTTTTATTATACTTATCTTTTTAAACTAAATAAATAAATAAAATATTATAATACCAAAATAGTAATGACATTTAATGCAGTTGACTTTTCTGGATAGTAAATGTAGTAAATAAAATCTCTTTTTATATAAGTATAGATATAGATTGTATAATATGGAAATAGTAATGCAATAAATGCTGTTGACTTTTCTGGCTACTTAATTTAGTAAATAGGACTCTCTTTAATATAAATATAGATTTGTGTACATTGGTGCTATAATATCATCTATCGTTTCAGAAGAAAAAAAATAGATATGTTAATTAAGATGATAGACAATTCATATAAGTTGTTATTTTTTAAAAATAATAATTTATAAAATTTTGTAAGAATTTAATTAATCTGTTTTTTCTTTAGGTCGCCAAACCTACTGAATTATATAGATTATCTAGACAAACCATAGTGTGCCTAGACATTGGAAAATACCAACTCTAATTAATTAGGGCGTGATTGTATATAATTTGTACAATAAATATCTCACTCAAAACTCAAATTTAACTCAACTCCACTATCTCCAATATTATCAATATAATTAAATAATGTCGAACAATTATTATTACACATCACATCAACTTTAATTCACTATTCACCAACTTACATAATTTTAACTAACCATCACTTCCAATCATTTTCTCCTACTTTTACATCAAATCAACTTTAATTATTTTATTTTAAATATTATTTTAATATATCCACTAACAACTAACCATACTACTTTTTTTTTCAAATTTAACTGTAGTTAAAAAAAAAACTTATTTTTTACTAGTTGAATTCATATCCAATTACCCCTTAATTATCTTGAACGTACAATCATGGAAGAACAATGTACAACCCAGAACAACACGCGCCTAAGTGTTGGCAGTTGTGCTTGTACTCGGCTATGGACCATTCTCTCTGCAACTCCCAAACTTTCAACTCGCAATAGCGATACGGCGACCGCCAATAAATAAAACGGCATCACTACCGCACGCAAAACCTCTGCCAAGAGTTACAGATTCACACTCATTTTTGTATCTATGTACCCCGGCCCAGATCCCATGTCCCCTGTAATGATCGTCACTTTGTTAATCCTCACGCTGTTTTTCTACGGCAATGAAGCATCGTCTTCGCTGGTCCCTAGATCTCGTTCGATTCTACGGTCGATCGACGATAAAGCTGAGAAACCCGATTATGCGGTGGAATTAAACGCCACCAATTTCGATTCTGTGTTGAAGGACACCCCTGCTACTTATACCATTGTTGAGTTCTTTGCACACTGGTCAGTTCATCTATCTTGAGTCAACAGATCTTTTATTTCTTCTGTGTTTGCTTGGTGGTTCTTTCAGTATGATGTTTCTGTTCATGATAGAGTAGCAGTATTTTTGTTTATTTGTATTGAAATGTTTAGATTTCTGATTGGAATGTAATGAATATAATCGACTTTGAAATGTTAGGAGTATTGCTTATATTTTTCATCCTTCTATAGAGGGAGAGGATTTCTTGGTTTTGTTTTGAGATGGGGTTTAGTATGCTGAAACTACGGAGTAATGGAAACACCCAAAAAAGGATGTAAGTTAAAAATAAAAATATAGGCTTTTCTTTTTTACTGTCTAGAGTGGATCTCTTTGAAATCAGTTTTTTTCTTAAGTGAGCAAGAAGGCATAATGCTCCTGGCATAGTGCTCATAATGGACTAGATCAAAATGGCTCAATTAAATTCTAGCGCTTCTTCTATTAGTGAAGTTTCTAGAAAAAAAAATATATGAAACGGCGCAATGCACCTTGGGTCGCTACGGAAACAGCCTCCTTGTATAATTACAAGGGTACGGTCTGCGTACAACTGACCCCCCATACCCCAACCTTTTGGGAATATATTGGGTATGTTGTTGTTGTTGTTGTTGTTGAGCAAGAAGGCATAAAGCTGAAAATGTGGCTGCTCTGGTGTTTATACAAGAGCATCTGATCTTAATATCTAGGATTTGCAGAATATGCCCAGCTTTGATATGTTTTTTTGAACTATCCTTATCTAAAATCAAATTACCAATCTTTTGNNCTTCATCCCGTATTTGTTTGGTTTTTCTTCCATTTTTTGTTAATATTTGTCCCTTTTGCTCTTGTAAGTCGAAATGACAGGTAACGAATAATAAGCCTGCAGGGAGCCAATGAAGTTTGCAAAAAGAAAAAAAAAATAATAATAATAAAGAAAAACAAAAATAAATGTATAGTGCTACTAAAATTTTGCAACTTTGTTCTGTATCTGTGTTGAGAGAGGGTTGGCTTTGTTCATTTATTTGTCAATAAATACTTTATGTTCACATGGAATTGTTGTTGGCTTGATGCTGCTTCATTTGCTGAGCACAACATGCACCACTTGTTGAGTTTGTATAATGTTACAAAGCTGCTATGAGGATAATAATATGATACTTTATGTGTCTAGGTGTATGTCTCACAAAGCTGCATTTTATTGATTTGGGGAATTTTGGACAATTTTGAAATTTCTAATACGAAGAAAGAAAAAAGGTGGTTTGACTATTATCATATATGTTTATGTGTATTTGTTTGATTCAAAAGACTCATGCATTTGCTGCTTGGGGTGTACAATGTGTGATTTGTATAAGGACTAAAGGGTGCTTCCATGACATTGTGGAGGAATCATGCAACTTAATTTTCTGCTTTAACCACAACATTGAGTTTACTATCATTTCTTTTTGCAGGTGCCCTGCTTGCAGAAACTACAAGGTACGTTGTGTTCCAAAAATTTTGATATTTCACTCGCTGATGATTCTGATTCCAAAGTTTACTTTTTGGGCAGCCACAATATGAAAAGGTTGCTAAGATTTTTAATGGGGCAGATGCTGTCCATCCAGGGACAATATTGATGACCAGAGTAGATTGTGCCTTGCAGGTATTAATGCTAGAAGTAGCTACTTTTAGTCTGTAAAGGAAGATCTCAGGTGGTTATAAGGATAAACAATTGTCTGGGTTTTGACGTTATTTATCTGTATTGTAATGTCTCTGTCTCTTTGTAGAATCTTCACTCTTTCATTTGGTGTTTGAAATGATATTTATGCAATCTACGTAGAATTTCGACCTAACTATGACAAAATGAAGACTTGTATACATTTATTATAAAAAATGTTAAGGATTTTTCTGTTTCCATGAACCTTTGTCAATTTTTGTTTATAGTACTCCTTATCTGCTGTTAAAGAAAGTTATGGTCCCAAAAGTTATAACTTGATTTTTGTTTAGTAATTTGCTCATCTGTTATTTGAACAGCTTCCATATATATAATGTATATCTATATGTATATATACACACACACACATACATACATACATACATATACATACATACATACATACATACATACATACATACATACATACATACATACATACATACATACATATTCTTGATTGTCACTCCAATTTACTTACTTGGCAGCACAGATAAATAGTAATCTTTGTGAAAAGTTCTCCGTGGGGCACTACCCGATGCTTTTATGGGGCCCACCGACTAAGTTTGTGTCTGGGAAATGGGACCCAAAGCAAGAAAAAGGTGAAATACGCTCTATTGATGATGGACGTACAGCAGATCGCTTGCTCAACTGGATTAATCAACACTTGAACAGGTATTGCAATTTAGAAGTTATGAGTGAATCATGGACTGCGCAAGTTGACAGCCAATGAACATAAAAACGGCATTGTCTAATCTTCTCTCACATCCTGTTATCTCATTCCAGTTGAAATTGGCATTTGCTTTTACATGTCCGTAATTAATCTTGGGCTTTGCAGACCTAACATCATATTTGATTCATTTGTTTGAAACTTTTAGATTTTTTTGATTTTACAGTTCATATGGTCTGAGTGATGAGAAATTTGAGAATGATCACCTCCAGAAAAATGCATCAGATATTGGACAGGTCCTCCAAGAGCATGTTTTTAGTATTTAAATAAGTTGATAAATTTAGCTTTTAATTATTATTTTCTTTTCTGACATACTTTGATGTTTTTCTGGGGAAAGATTGCACGAGCTATATATGATATTGAGGAGGCAACATCCACTGCTTTTGACATCATTATAAACCACAAGGTGAATATCAGTATTCAACTCATTTTTGCTCTTTCATTTTTCTTTCTCCCAACTTATTAGCTCTCTATTTAATCTTATGTAGATGATCAAACCAGAGACTCGAGCATCACTTGTAAAATTCTTTCAACTTTTGGTGGTCCATCACCCATCTAAAAGGTCTTCTTATATTCTGCATTGTCTTTATTCTTTTGTTATATTGGTATCTAATAATATCCTTATCTGGGTTTGGTTACTATTCCTTAGATGCCGAAAGGGTACTGCGGAAATACTTGTTGATTTTGATGAATTTTCCTCCAAGGAATTTGGAAGTGGTCAGAAGGAAGCATTCAAGAATTATCAAATTTGTGGGAAAGAGGTTCCTCGTGGATACTGGGTATGAACGCTTGTTCTTAATCTCCTTGTGCTAATAGTTAATTCAACTGAAATTTGTTTATCAATCAATTTTGGGTTAAATTCTTATAATGACCAAAATATCTGCTGCCACACGGGTAAAGAAATAAAAGAACTGGAAAGGTTGAATCCTCTTGTTATATGCTATTGGGTATGTTTCAGCACAGGGAAATGCTTGTTCAATATAAGTAAGATTGGTCCAGCATGCATTCAGAATTTTGGCATCAGTTGTGAATTGGATCACTTAATTACTGTGTTTATTTTTATTTTCAAGTGTTTAAGACAAAGATAACTGTGCTCAGAGCAATGGCTTCTGGCACATTGATTCTCCCACGAGAGAAATTTTTGAAATCCTTGTTATACAATGATTCTTGCCTTATGGTGGAGTCATTATTATTATTATTTTGAATTTATAAACGTTTTCACCCCTTTGTATAAGGTTTTATTTTTTATGGCCTAGCTATACTAGGAGCATTCTGCCTTAATTGGTGACTATATTTTATAATTATGGGCTAATGATTTTGCCTTTCTGACAATGAACATTCTTTGTAGATGTTTTGTCGTGGGAGCAAGAATGAGACCAGAGGTTTTAGGTAAGCTATATTCAATTATTCTCTTAAATCGGTTGTGTGTGTATTCATAGTTTATTATCACATAATCCAATAAATTATAGCAATATCAAGGAAAACAATTGTTGAAGTTTTGCTTAACTTTTCAAAATTGCAAAAACAATAATTGTGTTCGAGATGCAACATCTCATCTCATGTTTTCTATTAAAAATAAAGACATTTCTGTAAAAATGTTCCATGTCAATCCCAACCCAAACCCGTCTTTTCCTCATAAACAACATCTATGGAAAACACATTCGTAGGTAGGTCCATAGCATCGAAAAATAAACTTCCGACAAAAAATGCAAACTGATGCAAATCATCCAATCAAAGCAGTCATGAATTGATACATCTATTTCCTTTTGCAGTTGTGGTCTGTGGGTTTTACTGCATTCGCTATCTGTTAGAGTTGACGACGGAGAGAGCCAGGTGGCATTTACCGCAATATGCGATTTCATTCATAATTTTTTCATCTGCGAAGAGTGCCGACAACATTTTTACAGCATGTGCTCAAGGTAAGTTTTACGCAGTCTTACCTTTGACAATACCTTGTATGCAACATCTTCAAGTGATGATTTTGGAAGACACCCCTTAAAATGATAAACACCCCATCATAGACTATCCGCTTGAAGTATGTACATACACTATCGTTGAACAAA